CCGCTGGGAGCCCCCGGCCTGGTCCGGGGAAGAGGGGGAGGGCTGGGGGGCATCGGGTGGGTGGCTCGATCCGTGCCAGTTGCAGGGTCTGCTGGCTGGGTGCTGGTAGGCTTGCACCTGGCACGGGCACCGTAGCCAGCCCGTGCCCCTTTAAGGGGTCCAGGGCCGGGAGGGGGGCAATAGAGTTTCCCTGGTGTTGGCCAGAGTGGCCACCAGGGAAACCTGGGAAGCCTTAGCCTCCCACTAGTTCGAAATAGGCTTAATCCTCGTAAAATGAGGTTTACCTAGTTCGAACTAAGTGCTCCGCTAGTTTGAATTAAATTCGAACTAGCGGAGCGCTAGTGTAGCGCCTATTAAAGTTAGTTTGAACTAACGTCTGTTAGTTCGAACTAACTTTGTAGTGTAGACATACCCTTAGAGTCCAGCAATACAAAAGGGCCAGAGCTCCTGGCTGCCATTACTGTGGCAGTGGCAGTGATGGGAACTCCAGGCCCTTTGAATCACTGCTGGAATGCTGCACAACATGCTCCAAGCAGCTCTGAGGGCTAGGAAGGCACGGGGTCTGCGGGCGGCGCTGACGGCTGCTCCACCCCTTCTTCAAGTTGCTCTGCCCCTCCCAGGGTATGGAGCAGCACCCGCCTGCCTGGCCCAGGGGCCCAGCGAGGCTGCCCAGCCCACTGTTCCAGGGGGTGTATTGTGCGGATTCCAGCTCTGCCTCAGACACACGGTGGAAGCAGGTGAACTAAAGCTGTCGGGTGGTGGCAGAGTCCTGGACACACAGACGCGTCAGTGGGTATTCATGTGGCTCAGCATAACAGTTGATTTTGGTGATGAAGGATTATCTCCAAGATCAGTAGAAAACAAAATGTAATCTCAAAATATGGAATTATCGCCATCATCAATTATGGTGTTTTAAAAAGACTTGAGAATGGACACATCTCCACTTGTGATCCTGTGTTAAGGCAGTGACACAAGCTAATGTTTGGTGGAGTCCATACATATTTATTACTAAATGCGTTTACTTTGCTGCATAACACACATTGCCTTAGTCACTTGTAACTGACTGTGAAGTTATCCATATTAGAAATTCAATTTGCGAATTAATTTTTTGCCTTTAATGATTCTAACACAGAGTCTTTGCCAGGCCCTGGTGGGAGCCAGCTCCCGACATCCCGAAAGGGGTGGGACCTCGAATGGAATGGGTGGGCCTGGGAGGCTAGCTTACCCCAGCCAGCCTTTCATGGCCATTGGAGCCTTGGTAATTTAAAGGTCCCAGAGCTCCGGCTGCTACTAAGATGGTGACGGTCACAAATCCCAGGCCCTTTTAAATCATGAGCTCCTGGGGCAGCAGCCCTCTTTGTCCTGCCATCCTGTTTGCTGCCTTGTTCAAACATGAATTTTCTGGGCATCTCAAATTTTAGCTTTGCTGGCAAGATTTCTGTAAGGATTTGTGCTAGTCTAGCTCTCTCAACCTACCAGTCCTTTCTAAAGCACTATACAATAGGATTTGTAAGGCTGCAAAGCCAAGATTGAATTGTTAGGCAGCGCCATTCTGAGACTCTGCCAAGATCCACTTGGTAATTCCGGAAGAATTAGGAAAAAGGGGAAGGACCTTGTCACATTCATTCACATCATCTAAGCTTTTCATTTGGTCACAGGCTAATGGGAACAATAACAGAACAGCTAAGGCAACATGGTTCACATAGGCATTAAGGAACTCTGGACCAGACTGACTGTTCACCTATGTGTGAGTATTATCCTCAGTATAATGCTTGCTGCGAATCTCTTTGTACACAGAGACTTTAAATTGTTGACTCTGCCATTCACTTAACCAGCATCATGATGGTTTTTCTAATTCTGCTGTAATCGGAGCCAGAAAGTAAATTCTTGAATAAGTTTGCAGATACTCTATCATACTCCTGGTATTTCACCACTGTTTGTGCAGGCTGAAAATTCTGGATCACATGGTGTACAGCGGCATAGCAAGTGAATTTAATCTACCCACTTGCGGTTATATATCTCCCTTCTTAGTAATGTTTTAAAGATGTTTTCCTCTAGAGAGACAGGTGAAATATAAAGTTAGTATTAAGGGGGTTGAAAGTTTTGTTTGAGAATCCACAGAGGGTTTCTGCTGTAGCAAAAGTACTTGTCACATGAATTCACAAATATTTGGATTTGTTTTTCTAAGCTTGTTAGTAGAAGAAGAATTTGAAGACAAGTTGGAAGAAGATGAGGTGTCAGGGAATATGATGGCAACTCTGAGCTTTAATCATTCAGATCTGTTGTTCTCAACTTCCAGATGGCATGTCATTCCATTCCTTCCAGTGATGAAACATAACCTTTGGGGAATTTTCTTGGAGTGGAGAAACAGGTGTGAATCTGCATCCCATTCTCACATCCTGGGAGTGCTCTGTAAGCAAAGCAGGCTCTCTTCTCTGGTTTACAGGTGCGGTGAATTAGCAACTTGGATTAAGATTCCAAATGCCAAACTGACTTAGTTTTGTTTGGTGGTCCCAAAAGAATTTATTTAGCAGGCAATGCAGTTTCATACTCAGAACAATTAGCAGAAACCATGAATCTCATCAAGTGTTAAAAGCAGCATTCTGAGATACAGCCAGGACTATTAATTGTTCTCAAACTTTGCTCAGCCTGACTGAGGTCACAATTCTCTGGGTACCAGCAAAGAGGCTGAGGTCAGGTTTCCAGGTTGCATGTCAACAAGAAAGGATATCTGTGGTTAGCCAGAGAAATCGGATTTGAATTCTCTCTTTCCTCCCTATTTCTATCATACACAAACTAAAAACTGAGATCCTTCCTCACGTACTATTCACTTACATGTGTGCGTGCACATACACTTTATAACCTAGTTACACAAGATAGAACTATGCCTGCTTTAGTGGAACCAGCCAAACATGCTGTATAGTTGCAACCTAAATGCAGACATGCTTAAAACTAACAGGCTAAGTCTTCACTGCGAGTTTTTCTGGCAGAAAATATGCTAATGAGGGACTCATTAGCATGAGTCGCAACATCATTAGCATATTTTCTGCCGTTTCTTTTTGTGCAAGGGGTTTTTTGCACAAAAAGAAGCCGCGTGAATGTGTTTTTTTGCGTAACCCCCCCCATTTTGCGCAAGATCCTTATGCCTGTCCTGGAGAGGCATAACGATATTGCGCAAAACAGGGTTTTTGCACACAAAAAGCGCATCCACACGGCTTTTTTTTGCAGAAAAAACCCTTGCACAAAAAGAAACGGCAGAAAATATGCTAATGAAGTCACTACTTATGCTAATGAGTCCCTCATTAGCATATTTTCTGCCAGAAAAACTCGCAGTGAAGATGTAGCCAGAATGTGCTCTGGACATGGAAAAATTAACAACATGAAAAGCTGCTCAACCTCATGCCATATTTTTTACAGAGCATTCTATTTGGAGACAATTCTGTGGCTGTCTCGTGTATTTTCTGTTTTTATTCCCTTAGTTTTTTATTCTTCTTTATTTATTGTTTGTTGTTTTTAAATACTCTGTAAAAGAAACAGGACCTCCTGTGTTCCACAATTCCTCTACTTTTACTGCTAACTCCTAATAAGGAGCCCTAATAATCTGTGTGAGATTACAATTAGTGGTAAAGTGGTAGCTAATTGTGATCTCACAAACAGGCAATTAGGATTTTATGAGGGGAAGGAGTAAGTAGAGCATAAATACTTAAGCAGCAGAGCTCCTATTTTTATGTAAGTGTCCTCCGACTAAAAGAGAGAGGAGAGAGAACAATGAGAGAGGAGAGAAAACAATAATACATGCTGCATCATATCAGCAGGATTAGCCACACAGAATGCTTTTCAGTTTTCAAAAGAGGTGCCAGAGGGTCCTTAGGCAGAACCTGTAATCCCAAAGCACACATTCATTCCTCCATCTCCAAATCATTTTCTTTCCAATGTCTGGCTGATGTGGGTCCCAAGCATGAATTTTCATCCTACAAATACAGTTAGCACACTAGAGTGGCCATGCTGTTTCCAAATTTCCTTTTAGCAGGAAAATTGCTTCTAGCTTGGAGATAGAGCCTGAGGCATGGAAAACTGGCTAAATGTAAAATAACTGACTTGATCAAATAATGAGAGCAAGTGTCCCTGTGAGGCTGGAAAAATCTTTTAGTCACTAGATACTTAATGTTTGGATTTCTTCCATGATCACATCCTGAATTGTTTCTCCTTCTAAAGAACAACATTGGAAAGAAACAAGTATTCTTGCTAGGTAAAGAGCCTCTTGTTGTCCCTCCTACTCACTCTCCTCTCCACCCTGACAGCCGGAGTCATCGCATCTGTCGTCTGGAATGGATCTTGGAAATCTTGCTGGACAGAATACAAAGCAATAGATCTTTAGGAAGTTATATGGATGTGTGCAGCATGTAGGGTTGCCAGATAGTTGAAACAAAAATACCGAAACCTCCCCACCCCCAACAAAAAAACACCAGGAAAAAATTCTGATGAAGGGAAAAAAAAGGGGGAGGCGGGGAGATCAAAGTTGTTGAGAAAAAAAGAAAAACAAAAAACGACTCCAAGGACTTATTAAGCCAAACATTTTTTAAAAATAAAACAGCATTAAAACAGCATGTCCCCTTTAAGTGCAGGTATAGGAACAGGGGAGATGTTGAGCACTAAGACCCAGGGGAATTGCTTTCCCTAGGTCTTTTGGTCGGCAGACATTTTGTGCTGGCAGCCTTGGGGAACCAGGTAAGCATGGGGACTGGGATTGGGTGTGTTGGGCGCCAGGGGGACCTTGGCGGGGGGAGGGAGGGAGGCCAAGCGCTGAGTGTTTGTAGGGTTGCCAGGTGCCCAGCATTTTTGCTTCCTGGCCAGGGAAAAAATCAGAAAATACTGGACATCTGAATACATTCAGAGTATTCTCTGAATATTTTTACCAGACAGGAGCTGAAAATACCAAACGGTCCGGGTGAATACCGGACACCTGGCAGCCCTAGGCATGGTCTCCATAGAAATCAGTGGTACTGAGTGAAAACAACATGGGATGAGCATATTTCTCTTTGGTAAATCCTCTGTGTCCTTATATCAGGATTCAGTGTTTTCCTATAAATATGCATTTTTTTCCACCATGTAACTGGACACCTTCAGGAATTGCCCAGAGGGATTATATGGTCTGTTGAAAACATAACCTACCTATGTAGATCCCTACAATCTCCACCAGGAAGATCCTGCAGTAAAGGGTGCCTGAGGAAAGTGAGACGGTTGGGAGATATGTTTTATTGTTCTGGTAAGTTAGACAGACCAAGTATAGGCAGATTTCTCAAAGTCAGGCTTGGTAAGTTCTAAGAATACCAGTGAGGCATTTCAGGGGTTGGAAGGAAAGTCTTACATGAAGTTACACAGCAATTTGGTCTCTCCATCATTAAACATAACCTCACACCTACTATATATTTTCATCTGTTGCAATGACCTTTCCTTGAAAAGAGAAAGAAAAAGGTACCATTGGAAGTAAAACCAGTGCAAATAAGAGCACAAATAGCCAGCTACTTCTATGTCAGTGGGAAAGTGTTGATCAGAGTACAATTGTTGGTATAAAGTTTTCTCCCTGGAAATGTGAAAAGACTAATGATTCCTGAGCATGTAAATGAGGGCACTAAGCTAGGCGCACAGTTGGACTCACACAAATCCTTTATTTTCAATTAGACTCATCCCTTTGGTTGCCAGAAAAGTATTTTATTTCTGCGTGCACCACTAATCCCCGATGCTGCACTGTTTAACAATCTAGTTTCCCCAAGACATAAATTCTCCAGGTCCTTCGTGTGGAATCTTTTCTTCAGATCCAGTTCCTGAAAGAAGCATGTAAGATCCCAACAGCAATCCTCCAAAACTGAGACTGGCTGTAGAAAAGAAAATTTAAAACTATTTCTTGATATGAAATTAATCTGGCACATAAAATAACAATAATGTAATAGATTGTTACAGCTACTTGTTGGAAGCAAAGTGGGCAAGTGAGTGATTTCTGGACTGCTTGAAAACAAGATTCAATTTGTGTGGGCTATTAAAAATCAGGCTGTGCAGAAATGGATCTATCCAGTCCTAGCAGGGTTTTTAAAATAATTTCTCCATCATCTTAGAATAATTGGATATCAAATGCTTTTCACTCTGTATAGTGTTTTTTAATATTTGTCCCCAAGAATCATGCATATAAAGAGATTAATAAATCCACAGATTATAATGATCTTGTCAGATCCGGCTGACTGTGGTCTCTGGCAGCTTAACGAGAATACATTTCACAAGCAGCAATGAAAACATCCTCCAGAATCATACGCATCCTTCACCAGTTTTGCTGGAAGGAAATAGGTGATAGATCATTAAAACTAGTGCTTTTCATTAACACTTATTTAAAGGATTGAAAATGCTGCTTAAGAGACTTCACAGGTTTTCTAGTTTTATGGGTTTCAAATTTCATGCTTAGCAACATGCTTCTCATGGCCAAGCAATGCACTAAGGGCCAGAGTATCTTCAGAGGAGCTAAGGACCCATAGCTCAGACTGACTTCAGTTTCTGATGCAGATGCTCCGAATAGCTGAAAGTTGGGTCTTAAATGCCCCAACTCCCATTGATCTGAGAGAGAATTAAAGCAGCATCAGTGTAAATCTGAAAAGAAATGGCTAGTACTATTGTCACATCATAAACTGTGGTCAGAAGTCACCACTGTGGTGCCCTGATAGGTATCTTGCACTCTCAAAGGATAACCAACTATGTGCA